AACAAGGTGGGCTAGATTGGGTGTAACAAAATTCCAATTGACACCGCTATACTAGGATAGGTCATCTAGATGAGCTCTCGTTCATATGTCCAATATAAAGGGATCAGGAATTTTCAATGTTCATTTTGGTGACGCTATGTAACGGGCTAGAGATATCTGACCCCGTCACAGTGTGCTGCCACATGAGATTGAAATTGGTTGATATGTTACGTATAGAACTAAGCCTCAACGGTAAAACTATCTGAATATGCTTAGATATCTACCGTCGCGCCAGCCAGCCTCCCCTTGAAACTCTTCACTCTCTTCAGCCCCTATTCTCAGAATTATCTTGGGATTTCGAAACCCATTAACTCGGCCTCCTCTATTGTCATATCATATCTAATCCATGTTTTGTTGTCGTCCAATCCCTGTCCACTGAGGTCGACGAATGTCCCCTCGAAATGTTTCTTTTCTTTATCAGTGGCCCAGGGCCGGTACTTGTAAGTTTTGTTGAAATTGTCTTTGCTTATTTGTATTGTTGCTCCGTCGGGGAATGTATGGAAGAGAAGCCAAGTTGAGGGATTGTAGAACGACGCCGGCAAGAGTAGATATCCGGTCTCTTTCCAGGCTCGACAAAGCGGAGAAAAGTCTTGGGCTTGTTCCATTAAGATGTCTTTTATCGTATCTAGTGAGAGTATGAGGATTCGAACGACAGAAAATGGTTGTCGATATTCGAGGGCTGCCAACGTTTTATACCTCAGGACCACCTCTGTAGGGACAATGTCGAAAAATTTTTTATGTCGACTTTGAATGCCGTCACAACCATGCTGTACCTTCAGTTGCTATGTTGATGATGATGGTTAGCCTGATGTTCTGATCAATGGCTTGTGTAGCTAACAAGGCCACTGATGCAGGTGCTAGAGGGGCTCAAATATCTGCTGCAATTGATGGTCTGCTGCCATGTCAAGTCGCTCTTGACCGGGCTTTGCTGTATAAAAGGTCGGACAACCCGCCGTTCTACCTCGCAATAAGGATCTATTCAGTTTCACTCTTCCTTCGGCTCCCAGATATTTGTATGTATACTATATACAATATTATTCTAGTCTCAATCCTAATTTTTCCTAGGTTCACCAAGGCATCGTATCTGCCTGGATGTAAGATGATTAGCTCTGGCAGATCAGGGTCTTGCAGCACCTGCGGGCACTTCAACGAAGTTCATCGCAGTGAACCGTGTGCAGCACGACGATGCCGCAGAAAGATCAAAGTTTGTGGCAGCACAGTTCACACCCTTATCCATATGGATGGCACTGTTGACGAGAATTGGACCGGATGGGTAGTTTGCAGGCCGTGTCCTGAGCATGGACGGGAGAGCAAGGATGTGGACTATAGTAGCTGTCCTGTTATCGCCAAGGATGATGAAGGCAATCTTGTTATCGTACAATACGGTGTAGAGTACTGAGTTGGTCTATCAGTTTTCTGGGAGGTAACAGATGTATTGCCGGTCACGAGCAAGATTTGTCGGCTAGTAATGCAATAACAAGATTAGTAGGCTGTTGGGAAAGCCATCAAGCAGGGTCAGATATCAGAACCTCAAAATGGGGTAAGTCGTTGCTTCTTACAATGCCGCGACGCGGCATTGTAGGTATCAGCAACGACTCCTCCTAGTCTTAGGATTGTATCAGACATGGTTCCTTCATAAGATAAATACCGCGTTCATTTCCATCGTTCATTTGTTCTTCAGATAATTCTCGTTCAATATAATCGGCGCCTACGGCGCCATTATACTCGATCTTTTGCGACCCTCAATTGTCTGACAAGCAGCTTGCGCGGAAAGACAACGAGCAGGTCTCAAGACAACGTGATTGAACCATTACTCTGCCCACACGGTCGCTTACGGCGGTGTTAACGGTGGCAATATCATCAGAAGCTGTCGATAGAGGGCTGGTTTTGACGGTGAATGGGGACCGATGACGTTTATTATCGAGACAGCTGGCGCGATATTGTCTGTGCAGCGACGCGGTGGTGACACCATTAGTTGGGTTGACAGGTTTGTTGCCTGATAAATCAGGCCGAGCGAGCTAGCGTGTGTACTTAAAGCTCTCCATTCCTCCATTCAGCATGATCGCAGGTTACCCCAAAGTAGCACCACCATTTTAACAGTACTCGATGGCCTTGGGCACCCTCAAGTCATCGTTGCCAACCTACTACTTAGAGTATGGCAGATGCCCTTCGACCAGACAACGAAACATACAAGTTTTATTATGAAGCAGGCTACCGGTTGTGGCATAGCCTTTGCTCAAGCTCAAACACATCTCCTTTGGATGCAACCAGCTTAGACATTGAAAATGCGTTTCCCCAGCATCCCTATTTTCCGCCACAGCTAGAGCTCGATCGCAATTCCTCTACCGTCCTATATGCGACGGGAACATCTACTTGGGAAACCAGCAATGGTAGTTGCAACCTACCCTCCTTGCAGATAGGGCTTGCCTTTGGAGCTACAATAGCCTGCCCAACCGCCATTTCTCTTCAATCAAGTTGCCCAATTGACAGCCCGAATATCTTCGATGAGGAATCCAAGCATATGTTGGTTCTCACCCTCGCCTGGGCCTATGTACTATCTGCACGATGGACGGAGATCATTCCCGGGGCATCAACTATGTCATATACCGAAAGCGTGGCTACGCGCGACAGCCGTGACAACGCCCGCAACGGCGACGGCGATTTAATCGTGGACCTTGGTGACATTACATATGAAGCAGCGCGGTGGTGGGCGGCCATTCTTGCTCCCGAAGAAGGCTGGGGCGCTTGCATTTTTCACAACGGCAGGGTCTTAAAGTCGCCGTGGTCTGTAAAACTGGACTCTTGCAAGACGTTGGCTCTACGTTATAACGCCGTACCCTCGCGTCTGGAATGGCATTCTTCGGCATCTTTCTCCACTGCAATGGCTTACGTCCTTGACTACGCAATCTACCACGGACTTCAGAACCAAAGTCGAGCGGCATTTGCTGCCGCACTCCTGCTGCCAACACGCCACCGCATTTCGAAGCAGGTTCGCTGGCCCCGTATGCATCTTCCCCGCATGCAACGGTCAAAACCTTCCGTGGAACAGTACCTTCCGCCGTGGGGGAGCAACAGCTGTCAGTTGGATAGATTGCTCGCCCTTAGCTGCAATACTACAGGAATAATCTCGCTCTTGTGCAGCACGTTTATTGAACCGGACATCCCGTGCAATGTCTGTGGTGCTTGGATTCAAGGCGCTTTTGCAATTCTTGACACACAAGTCGCTAAAGAGCCGCATATTCTGGCACAAATGCTTATGTGCCGGTCTCCCAACTTGAATTTTCTGTGGTTAGGGGGCATACTTATGAACGTCCAGCACTACATCATGAAATGGGCTCGCCCTGTTGCGTTTCAGATTGATCTACATTCTGCGGCCTGGACAAACAGCTATGTATCTTTCATCCAGAAACCTGTGTCGCGCAATGCTTCAAATGCGACAACTGTGCAGCGGTCGGACGAGGCTCGATTAATGTTCCTATCGCAGGCTGATCATCACAGCAATCCCCCTCTCGTCCCGTTCACGCCATTTGGCTCCATTGCTCTTAAAGACTGTATTCTGGAGGTGCAAATGCACGCCTCCTGCGCCGGCTATCACGGCTTAAGATACGCCGGTTGGGTATGGAACTGTAGGAACAACACTAAGATTGCCCAAGACCCAACTGAAAGCTCTTTTACACCCAGCTCCAAGGTAGATGATGCTGTTGCTGGCCATACTACCATTCACTATGACAACCTTGACCGTGACAAGGACTGTTCAGAGTCTATGACGCGAAACATGTTTAAGTGGCTTCGCGAAGCGGACGGGTTTCCCGTCGCCGAACGAGCTATCAGAGAGCATGAATGGATTAGCGGGGGGTGGAGCTCGGAGGAAGAAAGTGCCGCACCAGAGGGTGATGGAAAATCGACCACAAACCGACAGATTGGACCATGGATATGCCGGGGCATAACGACAAGATGTAACACAATTTGAACATGTTGTAGCCAGAGTTCATGACATCCACCACTAGCTTCTTTTAGGTGTTTGCCTAGGGCTCAAATTTGCTCATATAAGGAATTGACAAAGAGTGGCGAGCAACAACTGGCTATTCGCTAAATTGAAAGGCGGCTGACCATACACTGGCTGGAATACAACTTCTTGGATCTCAAGGCACGACTCGGACTCAGACACAATCCAGTGGCTCCTTAATATTGCTGCAACGACATCTTCCTGCTCTCAGCCTTGCGTCCTTCAATTTTGGGGACGATTAACTTCCAGACGATACTGACTGCGATGTTCAGGTTGGCCGGCCACGGCCGATTGTGTCGGATAATGCCTCTATAGACTGAAGTCGCAGAGCTTGTTGTAATGACTGGTTATCATAGTGTCGGCTATCATGACTAAACTTAGCCGAAAGTTAAATTCGGAGGAAAGGAAGTATTTTTGGTATTGAAAAGAGAGCTGCCGGCGGAGTCTGCAGCACTCGCAACAAGAAGGATGATTTTATCAAGAAGCTTAGTTAACATGAGTCTCATAACGTGACAGATTGCACCCGATGGCCCAATTTGCATCGCTGCTGTGGGTCAGTAGTTCTGGGCCAAACTTCGCCTGTTCCCAACGCCTGGTGAATCCACTATCGACCAGTTTTGAGCAAATTTCTCGGAACTCTGCCGCGATGTTGTCGGAAACGCAAAATAAAATCTCAGATTCTGGGTCAGGCGAACTGGGTCATGGATTCTGCCACCCTCTTGAAAGTGCAAACTGCGGGGATAGGCGACGATTTTATTCAGCCGTAGGCTGACTTTACATTAATCGGATAAGTTTCCCAGAATGAGGGTGCCTTGAGGAACGAAAGGTCCTTCTGCCCCACCCGCCGGCTGCGTCCGAACTTTTCGCTTTCCTATTGGCTATAGTTTCTCGGCTCTTTATTGGTCAGTTGCCTTCGCCGGTCCTTCGCTGGTCCTTTGCATGCATTTGAACATCCTCACCAAGCCACCGCTGTGCCTCCTCCACTGTCCTTGTGCTCATTTCCTCCAGTCTGCCCTGTGCCGCCGTCATCTCCTGTGGAACTCGGTTGCCCACCAAATCTCTGTCCCGCACCTTCGAGATGAGCATGATGCCGTCTAACGACCGGCACCGCGACAGCTGCACGTACAGGCTGTAGGGGTCGCACTGCGCCGGAGTCACCCGCCCGTCGACCGTTGTCGTTACCTGCCGATTGATAGGCTCGCAATATCAAAGAACGTTGAGCGTCGGTGCTGGGCGTGCCCACATGCGGTGTTTTGCCGTCCGAGTTGACGGCCGTGGAGCGAATAACAGCGCGGATCGGGTCACCATCCCGGATGGCCGCTTCTAGGGGCTTGATTAGTATAGCATTAACTGCTTCTGCGCGCGCAAAGCCGTCTGCGAGGGTATCGAATGTTTTGCATCGACCATCCGGGGCAAGGATACCCAGTGCCGACATGTCCAAGGTCATGGACGGGTCCATGATGAGACTCGAACCCAACACCATCGCCGTCGAGCAGTCGCCGCTGTTGAGAGACTGGCAAGCAATGTGAAGTCCTGAAAGGGAAGACGAACAGGCCGTTCGTATTGTCATGCTAACACATGAAATAAAAGGTTAGTTATTACCCCCAGTCGGTACAACTCGCGGCACTCGTCAACTTGCCTCGGACCCCTGAGGTCATACTGACGGGACAGCATGTTGGATAGCGCGTAATCGCCCGCACTCAGAACTCTATGTGTGTTGGGCATTAAGTCGTCTCGATGCAGCATATTGTGCCAGTCTTCCCCAAAAACACCGACAAAGACGCCAGTGTCGGATCCAACAAGCTTGTGCGTCTGGCCCGCGCTCTCCATACACTCCCAGGCAACTTCCAACAGCAGCCTCAATTGAGGATCCAGCACGGTCGCATCGGCCGGCTTCATGGAGAAGAAGGACGGGTCAATGTTGGAAAGCTCCGTCTGCAGAAAGTAGCCATACTCTGTGGCAAGGAACTGGGTCTGCATTTTGCCGCCGCCGAAGCCGTCAACATTGTACCGCGTCGCCGGAACCCTACATCTGCCGTTCTTCTTGTTTATTAGGAGATCCCAGTACTGGGCGTCTGTTGAGATGCCACCTGGAAGACGAAACCCCATGCCAATAATGGCTACCGGTTTGGCGGAATCTGGCGTTGCGTCCATGTTGCCCAGTGAGATTAGTAATATCAATTGTATTCTAGCTAGATGGCTCGAAAGTATAAGCAAGAAGTGAAGAGGTTATAAATTGAAACCATGTATCCTAAGACATTTGGCAGAAAATACACCGAGGCTATTTGGGCGACTTGTTCTGCGTGCTCATGGCCCCCTACAAGTATGCTATTCTCATCCTATCCCTTATCCCAATGCTTCGTACTCATTGCATGGCAAGAGTCAAATGCCGTCTTAAACAGTGCTTGCGACAGGCATGCGGCGAGCAGACCAGCATAGTAGTTCAGATGGACAAACAGGCCGAGCCCATCTTGGTTTAATTTTCCAGCATGCGGTGTTGACACATACTTGGCAGTACAAGGGAAAAAAGACGCGTCTCGTGATTTGCAGTGCGATTATCAAGTCGGCAGCAATATTGTTGGGCAGCAATGACCGTAAAGACAGCTGTCAAATAAAGAGTGCTAGATTGGCGCGCCTGCGCTGTATCATACCGGCGAAACCTGGTACTGCACTACTAATGTACAACGTCTGGGTCCTTTTTCGGCGTTCTTTCCAGCAAAGCTAGTGTCTAAGCCCGAGAGCTTCAAGGCAGTGCCCGTCAGCTTATCGGTACCATCCTCTTTACTTGGCGTCATTCGTGAACTTAGAGAGGTCGCCTTTCCCGAGGCCAAAAAAGAGAGAATAGACTACGACATGGCAGCTGATAGCACTGATGATGTTTTGTTCGAGCCGGTGCTGGATGCCGGGCGCGGCGGCAGCTGACTGGCCAACCGGAGGCGCCTGGAGTTCTTATTCTACACATGCCAATAGCTCCAACTCGCTAAGCCCGAACGTATCGGCTCCAAGCCCCCTACGACGTTTTCGTTTGTGTGCAGACCGAGGACCTAGCACCAGAAGCGAAGTTGACGATGAGCAGTTATGCATATCCTCTAAAGTTTCGGAACAACCAAGGAGCAAACAACGGCCTTTTTGGGAATGCCGGAGAAGTCCGACACCGCCGTGAGGATAAGAATCACGCCACCAGTCACGATAAGTGCAATCACCTTTGCACTATTCCACAGAACGCCCCTTCCAGGTCATCCTAGGTTGAGAAAAAGGAGACTTATGCTTGCCGTGTACATGAGCAGGCCAACGTAGTCTAGTTCCAGCAAGATGTCTTTCTTTGTGCGATCAATATAGACTTGGCGTGGCGGGTGGTAGGCAAAAACTGTGCCAACAAGAGCCACGGCGCCCGAGATGTCGCCGACGATCATATTAGAATTCGTGACCACACTAGAGACCGTGATAGGTAGGGTCCGTTCATCAATCGAGCATCCACTCACACAAAGACCAAGCCTGTACCGGCTCCAATAATAACCATGGCGGCAATCAGCTGGTTGAATGTCTGGGCTAGAGCGCCGACGAGGTGGCCAACAAGCAACAAGGCCTGTCCCGCAAGCACAACGCCCTTTCGACCAAAGTAATCGCTCAGTTGCCCGCCCATCGCAAAGGCGATGCTGCCGCTGAGATACCACCCTCCGGCAATCCAGTTCAGGTTGTTCACGTTTCCTTGCATCTCCTTGGCCACTGTGGACGAGGCGGCGACGAATATGCTGAGGGGAAAGTTTATGCCCGACGTGAGCGACAGCCCGAGAAAGAAGACTGCAGCCCAGGTCTGGAAGCTAATGGTGGTATTCCCAGACGCATCTTCAAGCGCCGCATGATAAGGATCTCCATGGTCATCGTAGATTTGGGAATTGAGCACCTCCCTCCCGACCATGCCTTGTGTAATAATAGTGTCGTTGACTTGGCCCATTGTATGTGTGCATGAATGCTTGGGTCGCGAGAAAAAATTGTGTTAAATTCACCATCTATCTATACATTTACAAGTGAGGCCTGGTTCTTAGATACTTGCTAGTTGTACAATACAACCCCTGAATTATTATTAAAAAGATACTTAGCCCCGCTTCCTCCCGCAATTTATATCATTTAACAGGTCAACAGGTATTATATTCTGGGCCTACTAGGCCTGATAGGCAGGCACAGGTAGATTAGCAGGGGATCAGGCGCTACTAAAAGGGACTTTTTTAATATTGAATTTACCTCTATATTTACACTCCAACCCCTACATAATTAACCGCCCGTAACCTCGCAGGGGGAATTTAACTAATAGAGAGTTAAAAAGTAAGGGAAATAAATACCTAAATTTTAAGAGAAAAACTAAAAAAGCTTATATATTCTTATTAATTCCTGCTATATTACTTAATAGCTACTTATAATTAATAGTTAAATCGCCGATATAGCCCGGGGACCTTGCTCTATTAACCTTGTCATGTCACGGGTGGTTAATTATACAGGGGTTGGAGTGTATGTATGTATGTACCTATGTGTAATTTAATATGGGCTACTTAACATTTAATTGGTTAATCTACCCATGCCAGGTATCTACGTGACAATAATTCAGGGGCTGTATTGTAGTGCTACCATTCAGCAAAGAGTGAAAGAGCGAATAGCCGAGTTCATGTTTGCGGATCATCTTGTCCAATGCTATCCGTCACGTGTTGCTGCCACAAGGGGTACGTGAAGTTGGTCGCCAACTTGGACTTGGTAGAAAGAGGCAGTCATCTGGTCTTGGCGCATCGCATCTACAGTCGCACTTTGAAGGGAGTCACGTTGGGGAGGTAACCGCGAGGGGTTCTATATGCAAAGACAAACACCATGGAAACTTCTCATTGCTGCTCTAGACATACATGTAGCCATTCTAAAAGCACGTGTATCCAAAACATTTGATACATCAAACATACATGTACAATCCCTCACGTAGGGATAGACCCGTCGCTTTTTAGCGCCAGCTTGTGCGCCCCAAGACGCCTCCCCGTTTAGCCAGAAAAGGACAATAGTGGAATGCGCTCGCTAGCCCGCGCCGTTGCCGACCGCAAGGCGCGGCTAGTAATCTGCCTCAGGAGTGGGTTCGCCACGCGGTGGCCTAGACGGGATACCCGTCCAATGATCCTCTGCACGGCCTGCCGAGTCACCTGAGTCAGCGAGCTTGTGACCCGGCTTAGAGCAGCGGTCACAGCCTCAGCAACAGAGCCGACTTCAGTGCTGATTCCGAGACTGGTAGCGACCGAGGCAATGAGCGCTGCCCCGTCGCCCGTCGTGAAAAAGGCGACGGTGACGGCAGTGACTGGGACGCCAATGGCGACCGCAAGGTTCGTGCTGGCCTCGGAGTCCTTTTGCTCTGATGGGGGGGTTGTCGACGGCGGCGTCTTGTCAGGTGGTGAGCCGGCGGGAGCGGGCTGGCCTATGGCAGCCAGTACCTTCTTGCAGACGTCTAGAAACATGGCCTTGTAAGCGGTGGCTTTGGCAGTATGCATTGATGGACTGTGACGTTTCACGTACCTTGGTCTGCTCGAGCTTTGAGTCGTCGGCTGCTGGGCGGCTTGTTGGGCAGGCAAGAGGTAAATCGGATTTGCGCCGTGGCCATTTCCCGCAGAACGTTTATAGCAAGGGGAAAGGTGCGCTCGAGGAGCCGGTATACTTGGGGATAATTATCCTGCAGAGATTGGATACCGGCGTCCAGATAGGTGCGAAGTTGCTGCTCTGCGATGTTGAATTGCTGCTGCACTTGTTCAACGAACCGCGGCCATGAGCTCTGGTCCAGTTCCGGCGCGGGCTCTGCAACAATAATGTTAGCATTGACCAGACTAGACACGGTGAGTGCTGTAGCCATGGAGGGTTTCCCATACCGGTAGGTGGTTGAGTCTCATTTAGACTGTCTTGATCCGATGCAAAACCTGGCATGTTGTTATGTACGCTGGGCTCAAAGCACATGTCCTTTACGATATCCTCGCTTGTCAAATACTCGCTTAATTCGTTTTCTGGCACTTCATCAAAGACTTGAAGCAACTCAGACACGCCTTCGTTACAGCGCGTAGCGTCTGTTGCCGTGTTGGCTGGCGGCTGGTCGGCCGGGCGTGCAGTGCAAAGAGCTTGCTGAACGTCGGGATCCACCTCGGACAAAAGCAATTTCTTGCCCTTGGATTTGGCCCGGGTTGGCTCCAAGGCTTTCGAGACATGTTGTTGGCAGAGGCCGCTGGGTCCTGCGACAGGCTCAGACGTTGGTGGCGAGTCGGCGGTAGGCGCAGGGCAGTTTAGGTACGCGTCAATAGCAAACCATTGAAATGTATCTGCATTACCCAGCGCTTGGTCGCGGGTAAGCTGTGTCGACTCGAATCTTCCATACCTGTGGTCTACCACAAGACTCGACGACAGGGCGTGTGAGAATTCATGGATAAGCACGCCAGCGAGACTACGCTCGCCGCAACGCTTTGGTTTGACGGGCCTTGCGAGAGCGGCAGGGCAAAGTGTGACGGTGTCTGTTCCTCTTGTGAAGTAGGCGACGGTGTTTGGGTCCTCGGGACCGGGACATTGAGCATCTGCTGCATCACAGGAGATGGTCAGCAGCCCATCTTTGCCGTCTTTGCACTCTTGTGCAATGTCGTCGTACAAAGTGGCAATTCTGTTTCGGAATGCCTGGTCTGACGTGTGGAAGTAAGTTTCGAGCCGTGCTGCATCCCCAGTACGGGCTGCTGCGGCTGCTGCCTTGGCAATTTTTCGGCAAACGTCGAGGGCTTTCTTGATGTCTTTTTTCTGCTTTGAGTCGCACTTTGGGTCGACTTTGGCGCGCGCCTTCAAGTAGGAATGAATATCCGAACGAGGAGAAGTCCCTACCGCAGCACCCTGGCCAGGTGGAATGGGTGGCGCAAGCGCAGCGGCCAAAGTTGCGCCAGAAAACAGGATCAAGCTAGAAAACTTCATGATGATCTCTGGTAAGTATATGTAACAAGAAAGATTTCTTTGGCAATACCAAGGGCATAATCTTGTGATGCGGCGGGAATAGGGCCTATTATAATCATTCATATGTCTGGTATAGTTTAAATTAGGGTGGCCCTATCGAGAATAGCTTGAGGCCGTGCCTGTCATGGCAGACACCAATTGAGTAGGTGATCAATACCATACTCGGAGCAAACGAATGTTGAAGTGCCGACAATAATTTCATCGCAATATGGAGCATAAACGCCAAGCATGTCACGATTCAGCCAAGTCGGCAGTGCCCATGATTCCATGACATCAATGACAACTTAATCACGCGACCAGTTGCCATTACAAGTGGTCTTGAGACTGGAGCCTAGAGACCCCGGTTTGCGTCACCTGCCCCAGCCTACATTTTGATCCGGCTTGACTAATTGATCATGCCGCTGGCAGGTCTATACGGCAGAACTGCATAAACTACCAGGCCTATAACTCGCAAGGCTGAGGCATAAACACTAAATCGGCACGGGCATAATCGGACATCCATCTGAACGCCCACTCGGCCCATTCCATGACACGTTCACTCACCTACAAAAGTGAAACCCAGTTGCTCAGCCTCACCAAGCGCATCCTTGGTGTCAGGGAAGCCGCGTTGAATTTCATTGCAAGGAGGCCATTACTCCATTTCCATGAAATCCATACGCGCGCTAATGGGCACATTTCCCGCGCACGAGAGCTCATACACATGCAGCTTTATGCCTTCAACAGGTTAGATTCACCTTGGGGCAAAGGAGTCAGCAAACTGCCCAACAGACACCTTCAATGTTCCTTGTTCTCATGCTGTGTCATGGAAAGGCGCACAGCATCGGCCCCTCCGCAGATGCCGACGACACTCGACACGCAACCCTCTTAGAGCTGCCATATGTATATATATATATAAATCTTGACATTATACACACGTGGGTTGGCTTCGTTTTTCCAGAACAATGCGTCCTCTTCTCGTCGCTGCGCTCTTTGCGGCCGCCTCAAACGGCCAATTACTTGGCTTCTTTGACACAGTGTTCCCAGGCCATGGCCAGGAGCAGCCCAGCGTGACTACGGGTTCCGAATCTCGCGTTCCCGTGGGAAAACGTGCAGACTCGGCCATTATGAAGATTAAAAAAATTCCGCAAGAAGACCTGGAAAAGGCAAAGAAAATCGCATCCTTGGCCCTCAAGCAGGCGGACCAACTCAAGAGATATCGCGACACCGTCAATGGCCTCGAGAAGGAGACATCTAGCGCTCAAACATGCTATGACAACTACCAGAAGAAGAGCCAACAGGCTCTCGGCGACCCGCTTAGCATTGGTGACTGCGACAAGCAATACTTTCAAGTCCAGTCTCTGCTCGGAGAGGCCCGCGCCATAAGTCAAGAGCGTGATTTCCCCGATAGCTCCTGGATCTATGACGTGAAGCTACCGGATGTGCGCGACGGCCGCACCAGCCTGCAAGGCGAGGAAACAAAACAGCTGCAGGACATCCTCCAAGCCTTGACAAAGATTGCCGGACAGGCAGTAACAATCCAAAAGCAGGCGGAGCGGCTGCAAGACTACCACAGCAAAATGCAGGGCCTTGACGCCGCCATCTCAGAGAACAAGAAGTGCTACAGCGCGTTTTACGAAAAGGCCAAGAAGGACGGAGTCGAGTCGGTGGAAGCCCTCGAGGCCGCCATGAAGCCTTGCAACGAGGGCTACGCCCAAGTCCAGGCCAAGCTCGGCGAAGCTCAGAAACTCGCCAAGGAGGCCGACTTCCCGGGCGCAGACGTCCTGGCGCGTTTCGAGCTGCCCAACCTGCGCGATGGCTTTGAGAGCAGCCAGGATGCCGAGACGCAAAAGTACTGGCAGGAGCTCGAGGAACTTACAAAGGCAAAAGACGGCACGGCTGAGGTGATCAAGGAGGACAGCAAGGAAGCAAAGGAGCTTGATGCAGCCGTCGCCGGGGAAATAGACTCGGTTGTAAACGCGACGCTGCACAACTGGGTCAAGTATGTGGCTTTCCAGGAGGTGAAGAACGGAGCATCGGCTGAGGCGGCTATGAAGTCGGCCAAGGAGCAGGGGGCTAAGTTTATACAGGAGTTGCTGAAGAAGTCGGATGAAATTGCTGATAGCGCCATCAAAGACCCTCCCGAGAGGTAGATACTAAAATACTACTTGGCGTGACACCTTGCACTTTAGAGTGGTAGTGCAAGGCGTACAATTAGTCAAGGCTACAAGTTTCCAGTTAACAATAAGGCAGTTGCTAAACAATCAAGTATTTACAATTATATATTTATTGCGTTATTTACGTTAGTGGTATTAACTAGAGTTATGTGATTTTATGGCTATTCTTATATAGATTTTAAGTAAGAGCTTATTAACCTTTAAGTTTTTAATATTTGTTTTATTCGCGTCCCTCGCAGCTCTAGGGCTACGCGCTCCAGTGTCCTGCCCTGCACTTTGTAATCTGTGCACGCGAACGCCGCCGCACATGGCAACCCTTTCCGACTAACGTCCTTCTGCTGCCATGGCCGACTACGCTGCCGCCGTATCATGACGCTCACGGGTGTCAACAGCATCGTGCCTGGTGGCATCCCGACAAAGTGCACATCCTTTGTCGTCTCCGACTCCAGAATTATCCCGGCTGGTGGTCCGAAGTGGATCATCGTATCGGCCGAGATCCGATATTCCGGATATGCCTTGTCGAGGATGACCTCCAGCACAGTGTAACTAGCACCATTGACAAGCTTTAGTTGAATCCCAGATCGCTTATAGCTGAGGTGCCTGTTGCCTTCCTGCTGCCTGCTAGGCAGCAGGTGGCCTCAGGCAATATACTGGTAGATATCACAACTATAAGTAGCGGTGTTCATAACACATAGATAGCTTAGAGAAAAACACACTTGTATGCATAGTTCAGAGTTCCAACTGCTTTAAGCCCTGGTGCGTGTTGCGATTCACGACCACTGGCATCCCTGGTACGAACATGAAGACGCCCGGTACTGGTATCGCACTGTCGTCCCCCTGGTTTAGCATCATGGTGGCTTCTTCCTCGGTCGGCGGACCATTCTTCCACTTATGCTGTGATAAGAAGATTCGCATCATTGACCGCCGCTGGACCTGCAACAACAAAGCTGCCTCCATGTTGAGGTTCCACGGTTCCTGTTCAGCGGCGTCACCACGGTGATTCCTGTTTCCCACGGAATTCGTTGATCTTCTCGGTAGCACCTTGCGTTGAGGAGATCCAGATCCGTTTTGTCCTGCACGCCCATTCGAATCCGTTTCAGCAAGCGCTGCAACTCCGGGTCCCCGGCGGCACGAACTTGTTCGTCCAGCATGACGACCGTCGTGAATTTCCTCCATAGTGCATGTGCCTTGTCGTGTTGGTGTCGTTGCTCGACCTTGAACGAGTTGTCTTCGTCCCACGAGACGGCCACGCTTGGTAAAAGGATTGACCTGTCATGTACTGGCCGGAACTGTTGGAAGTCTCCGCAGAAGAGCACGATGGGGATCCTGCTGAACTCTTGATGTGAGCCGCGGAGTTGGCAGAGTTGCTCGTTCACCGCGTGTAGCATCTGGGCTCCTAACATGCTCACCTCGTTGATGACAAGGAGGTCTTTCTCTTGCTAGTTCATTCGAGTTTGGCCATGAATAAACCGCTCCGTTACTTTCGCCAGTCGCACACCGCCGAGATCCTTGCCCATGCTTGTGCCTGTTGCTTGGTCCTTGGAGAACCCGCAGGTGGAGTGGATTGTGATGCCGTTAATTCGCGATGCCGCCGTCCCCGAAGTCGCCGTTATCAAGAGGCGGTTCGATATTTTTTTGCATGCAAAGAGCTCAACAAGCGTTTCAATGACGCGTGACTTCCCCGTGCCGCCTTCTCCGCCAACAAATTGGCAGAGCTGACTGACTTCGCTTTTGGCGCCGCATTGTATCAAATCGAGCTGGCGGCATATGATCAGGAGGGCGATTGTCTGTCTCTTATTCAACTTGAACCGTGCTGCCAGAGTCTTGCCTGTCTCGAGGAAGGATGTTGATATGCCAAAGTCGACTTCGACACCTGGACCTGCCTCGCCTACCCTTTCTTCCAGGTCCGCTCCCGTCATCTCAATATCCTCCTCGCCGAAACCACTGAGCACATTTCGCATCACGATACCTTGCTCAGTTTCGTGGGCCACAGCCATATTTTGTATACCCTGGATCATCCGCTCCCTCTCTCTGGAGGCACATATCTGCTGCGACTTGATGGCTTTGACCTGATCCTGCGGTGGTATACTGGCCCCGGACAAGGTTCCTCCGTGTATGCCTATCCATCTTTCTCCTCGTTCGGGTATTACGGTGGCGAAGAGCTCACCAGCCGAGCTCAGCCCTGATAGCTGAAAGTGGCAGAGCTGCTTCAGTGTTGCCATGAGCTCCGGCGAGCCGGCAGCGATCTGGTTGGAGCCCAGTGCACTTCTCATGACGTCAATTAGACGCGTCGTGTTACCAATGCTGTCAGACTCGCGAACCGAGGCGGCCTCGTCGCCCTCCCCTTCTCCCTCCTCATCGGCATGTGTAACCGTGAAGTCAGCGTCGCCAGCTGAGACCGCCCATTGCCTGGCGTCGCGTTTTGCGTCTTCGGCCGACCGACGAAGTAGCTGAACGTTATCGACGAGGCATGATACTCTCGGAGACAGCGCCTTCAGTGCCCGCGCCCAAATGAGGTTGATGTCGTCCGTTGCTTCGCACAAGAAAGACTCCCATGGCACAAACAGCGCAAGGTGTTGCACAGCTGCCCTTCAACGGGAGAGTTAGTTTCTGCAATACGGTACCTCTCAGCGTAATATTCGGTAGACATACCTCCGATGGCACGAGCCTTCATCATCCTGATCGAAATCCTTACTCAGGTAGCCATCCAGGCAGACACTGGCGTACTTTCCCGGCCGTCTCAGCACCTGCAACCAACGTCTTCCAGGTCCCCATCCGCTTTCAAAGGGTACCTCTCCCCAGGAGGCAGCGGTCTCATCCTTGTCCGTGCGCCTGAGCTTGACAAGCGATGTGTAGTCGTAGAGACACAGACTCCCTAGGACCCCCCCTCGGTGCTCATATGCCTCGACATAGCTGATTCTCTCGCCGGCTTCTTCCACGAAGATTGAGTCGTCCACGGGATCGTCCCCAACCGCTGTGCCGCTCTCTTGGCGAAGGTGTCGCCACCTACGGAAGACGTGCCAGTACAGCAGAGAAACATTCAGGAACGCCCATGCGCTGCTATTAGTGAACTCGGTCGGGTATCCGAGAAGGTAGGCGATGACTTCCACTTGCGACAAAGACCGTTCCGTGAATATGCGGTTCGCCACCCTCATCAAGAATTGCCGTGTCCTGTTCCCGGCAGCGCCATCAGTGGCACCGTTATCTCCAATATCCTCCCCGCCCTTAGCCGCCGGTCCACGGCTCGCTGAGACGACAGGCAGCAGTTCTGCGGCAGCAGCGACGCGCTTCCATACCGGGTCCTCTGCCTTGGTCGTGTAATTCGTGACATAGAACACGAGTGCCATGGTCTTCCGCTGCGTCGCTATGAAGGAGATATCGTGGTTGTGGCGAAGCCCCACAGCCTTAGCCTTGTTCCACCGATTCACCATGCTATGCCTCCTTCGAATTTGCAGCACGCCGTCTGCCGTGAAGGCAGTCTTTTCGACAAGTCTCCATGGCGCCTGAAACCTACAAAGACTACGCTGCTTTGCTCTTTTACCCTTATTCAAAGAGTACTTGACGCAAGTCGGGCTGTGGGTGTGGATCTGTGTTGCACCAGCACAGAAATTCGCCTCCTCGTCAAATGCGGCCGAAAATTGCTCCCTGTTGCTGAGCAGGGAGGAAATGTCTGATGTAACCGACCGTTCCGCTTGGAGGGCGCAATATCCTTCCTGGTCTAGGTCCTATCTCATATGTCAACTTGACCCGGCTCGTCTCCTGCGTCTCCAATGGCATGCCTAGGTCCATACTATACCTCACAGAAGACACTATCGATGTATCTGATGATCCTTTCACGATACGTGGCTTTATCTTCGCCGTCGACATCGGTAATCATCGTACTCAAGTTTGCGTTTCCGTGCAGCCAAAGCAACCCGTGGACATGCAGCGCCCCTCGTTCGTTGGTCTCCACAGCACCGTAGTAGTGGATGATGCGCCCGAATACCGACTCCGCTCCCACTTTGACATAATGCTCAAAGAACAACGTCATCTCTCGATGGAAGAAGATGGCCGAGCTCATCGGGTCGGAGATGGCCAGCCGCAGTCGTCTGTATGATTTGTCAAGGCTCTTCAAGAAAGCTTCAGCTGTGTCAGGCTCACGAGTGCGATATGCCGCAAGCCGCAGCTTTACCGGGTTTGTGATGTCATTTGGGTTGAGCGTAAACCAGATCGCAGGAATGCCGTGACGAAGCACAAGCGACTGTATTTTCCGCCGCATACTCAGACGGTTTTCTCTGGACATTGGCTGCCGGAAGCCGTACAAGGAAAGGCTTCTCAAAAGCTCCTTCACGCCCTCGTCAGTCGTTCTGCCAGAGTTCTCCAACTCGGTCCTAGCTGCCGCTAACCTGTCTGCTGAGAGCGATCCTACAATGCGCTCTATCTTCCGGAAGTTTTGCCTCTTCACGCTCAACATACTGAACCGACGGTTTTTCGATCGTACACTTATGTTAAACACAAGGAAAGCAAAGATGTGGTGCGTTGCAAATCGGCCCCCGTGGCGTCGGAGCATGATATCGGCCCACGTTCGCAGACTCATGTTACGGGATGAGACGAGATCTTGCGCCGCTGCCTCTACTCCACGAATATCACTACCTGTTCCCGCGCTAGGGGTGGCTTCTTCCGCCAAACGTGGGCCTCCAATACCAAACGGTAATAGCGTGGGAAAGGTCTTCGCGAAGAACGAGGCGTCAAACGAGTCGGCGAATTCCTCACCCCGATGAGCGTGAATATATGGCTCACGCCGGCTGGCGAGCCCCGTCTGTCGCTCTACCGATTCCACTCGTGTTGTCGGGCCTGCCTTGGCTCTCCCGGCCGCATCTCCGTTCACAACATTGCAGGCAAACAAAACCTTTTCCATATCGTGAACATCTGGCGGTCCATCCAGCGCAAACATAGCGGATGAAGTGACTTCGTTGATCGGTTTTCCCCATTGGCCAGACTCGGCCTCGCCCCAGAGGCCACCTTCGTCTTGACCCAACCCCGGCCCTTGTGCCCGGCCACTGTGTTCGTCTTCTCGATCAAGGCGCGCGAGGACCTCCTCAATCTCCAACGAATCCTCTTCGTCCATACCACGCTCTGTTGGGGGAACAACCTGCGCCGTTCGTGCCTTTTCCCACGCCGTTGGCTCATTCCGTTCCATGCAATCGTACACCAGGGACGGCACCCCATGCGGCGGTGCGCCCCAGCTTTCCATTTCCGCCGCATCAATCTCAATCTCAGCGTAATGCGGGTTGTTCATCTTCAGCCAGACGAGTGCGCCCTCAATGACTCGTCGCCTGACTGACAAAAGCCCCGACAAGTCGCTTGGTGCTGGCTTCTCCGCGCCTTGCCACGAGATATGGATCTCTTCCATAACTTGCACGAGCGGATGGGGAAGTACCTTTGTGGCCAGCTCCTGCACATTGTTCGGGAACACTGTGATGTGGCCCTTGATGTGCTTTGGGTAAATGGCATTTTGCTTGTGACCGCTCGCAACGCTGTACCTTGTGACGAACCCGTAACATGAGTTCAGCGCGATAAGTTTCTCCTCCACTGGAGTGAGACCCTTCAGCTCTTCGGGGAACATATGCTCACACCCAATACGTCTATGGAGCTGGGCCGCAGGCGACAGGGCGTTGCGTCCCAAACAACGTACGCACTCCGCGCAGACTAGGACACTCTCGCCCTCAGGTATGCAGCTCCGACATGAAAACGGCGACCGGCCGTTATTTGCAATACCGTTCAACTTCCATGGTTCCAATTTAACATCTCTCAACTCCTTTTTCGTGCGCTTGCGGTAGCAGAGCATACACGTCCATAACTGCAAGTTGCTCGTATCGTGGAACGCTCTATAGAAATCTTCTGCAGTCGAGACCTTTCTCTCATGTGGTATTGGCGTACACCACATCTGCTCTTTCGACAGGCTCTCCTTCACGGCAAATTCCTCCTCTAAGTAACCCAACACGCTCGTCAAGTCCTCGGCCTGCAACGCCCGCCTCCTCTGGCCTCGAGTTCCACGTCGACTTCGCTTCCTTGGAGATTCATCTCGCCCAGGATGACGATTTCTCTTTCCCTGCCGCTGCGGCCGCCTCCGCTCCACGACGTCGTCTTTCCATGGCCGTTGGCCTGTTTCTTCACAAGCAGTCTGAACTAGTGGCTTTGACGACGACACTCCAGCTAAATGCGCATCTCCTGACGCACCCTCCGTCTCTCGTGACCAGACAAGCTTACTGGGAAACCCTCCTGTGCTCGAGGCATCGCTGGGCTGTGGTATTCGCTTTCGCGGCGGCGGCCCTCGCCGACGTAGCTTGGGCAGCGCCCTCACAATTGCTTCCGCCTGCTCACGTCGTGAAGCCTCTTCAATCGCTGATTGCTTGGGCTGGATGGATCGAAACGTGGACGTCGTATTTGCCAGTCTCTCGTATCTCGGCCGTCTCCTCAGTTGCTGATTTGGGGCAGTGTGGCCGTCGACAGTATTTCTTGCCATCCCCGCCATCCCCGCAACCTATCTTGTCATCGCCGCTCCACCATGTACATCTCATAGCCAAGATTCTCCACCGTGCTGTTGTCACTGCGACGTCGAGTACTCCTGACGGATAGTATATGTTCGGCTCCGGAGCTTCGCCACTTGGACTATCTCGCCTGTTGACACGCGCTTCTTGGATATGGGAAATTTGCCCAGGGATGACTTCTCTCATACTACGGTATTTCCATTCAGACTACGTCATGCTTTCCTGCAGTACTAGGCCGATAAACCAATGGTTCCCCGTAGTATTCCCCATCACCCTGCCTCTGCGTCCATTATCGCAGTTTTGGTCAGTCTGCGTATACAACTTGTCACCCCAACTTTGTCGGCAGCAGCCCTTCCAACGCCGCACCATTGCCTGCGACGTCCAATCGAGCTCTGACAACCACCCTGCTGGAACGAAGATGGTGTCGTCGTTGCTTTTTCCTAACATGGACCTCCAGCACACATGGACAAGGCCCTGCCAACCTGCATGCTTGCACTCTCCAGGCCGTACTCTTCAAGCTGTTCGAACACCATGTTCCCGCCTTTGCTCGTCGGTCCCAGCAATATTTGCCAGGTTCACCCTGGCTCGTAACTCACCCATGACGTAAAGAACCATTTCGAGCATCAACCTGATCATCGGACTAAGCATGATGCTATCACCCCCATTCCCGAGCGTACACGCCGTGAGGTCATTTGACAGCACACGTCATGTCTTTCTTCCTCGCCCACGTACAGCTAGCAACGAGCCTTCTCCCCCTGGGGCTTTCACTTGCACCACTTAGTCTCTCTCCCTGCGCCGGTGAGTACTTCAGCGCCTACACCTACATACATTATCTCCAGGCTCTCCTTGTCTGCTGATCTTCTCTGGGCACATACGCCTTTTTATGGGCCTTCCAGTCCGCCTTTTGGTGGTCTTTGCAGCACTTCGCTCCTACAGTCGTACCACATACTTTGCACAGCTTGACCTCCATGCAACCAGTGTGTCCCGACAAGTCATCGAGAACCTCGTCCTCTTGCCGCATTTCCTGCACGATCATTTGCATCTCCTGTCTCACCTCGATCTCGCACTGCCCTCTTCCACATAGAGACGTTACCCAAACCACAATGCAAGGCTGGTCTGTGTGCAAGAAACATATTGGATTCTGTAGGATATCTGTCGCAAATTGCCCGCAACTTTCGCAAAAGTCCCCGGACGCATTTCGACACGCCGTGCTCCTTCATGAGAGGCATCATGACCTGGGAAAATCGTTCGTTGTATTCGCCATCCTTTCCGGCACGATTCGCTTCGGTGACAAGGCTCTGGGAGATGCTGTGGTTGTGTATGAATTGCGTATCTCCAAACTGGCATATGAACTCGAGTCGGACCGTAGAGGTTGCCATGATGTGCATTCAGACCCTCAAATGCCTTAGTAAATATGTGTTGAGAAAAGGAAGGCGTGATCAAATTACCAAGGTCTAGAAGTCAATTACTATCTAATCTTCCTCCCATCCACCTTTTTATCCCATCTTGCACATTCATGACCTGTCGTGCATCAGGGATACCCTAGGCACCGTTGCCAATAAATGGCCCCCAATGCAAGCCACTATCAGAAGTTGGTGTCACCAGGTGTCACCAGAGACTGTTTCCGACATGGAAAAGCTTGCAAACACCTTTCAGCCGTGTCCCATGCCATCGCGCACTCTTTTAATACCTTTTTTTTTCTTTTAATGTCTCCTCAAGCTTTCGTTCCTCAAGGCTCTTTGCGCAACCCTGCGTGGGGTTGCCTCTCCTGTTTGGTGCGACAGGGGTGCGCAAAAGTTTCTCGACATCTGATTGGTCTCAGCATTTTCTAAAACGTAACTCAACTGGATGATCAATATCGAAAAATGGGTCCATTTTCACAGCTGCCCCTGATTGTGTCTCGCAGGTACTTTGAGCATCGGGTATCGCAACACAACATGCAGTTGCTTTCATCAACAATGAGTCCAATGCCTCATCGAGGACCCCAAGCTGGCGTGATTTCCTTCGTGTGCATTCGCTGTGGGGAGGAGAAACCAGAGGAAGACTTCCTCGGCAGAAGGAAGGCGGTGGGGTACACCAGGAGCTGCCTAAGCTGCCGGAATCAGCGCGCTTCTCATGTTGGCCTTATCTCCCATTCTGCAAGATGTTCAATGCTGATCAATTGAAGTACTCCAGGTCCAGAGGCGCGACCCAGACACTGAGGGACATCGCGGTCCGTCCTTCCTCGCCCGACAGGCCTGCGAAGAGAACTGACCAAGAAGCTGGCTTATCGCCTAGGCAGAAAATATTTGAAACCCGACCTTTATCTTCAAACAATTCACGGGGACGTCACAAAATGAGCAGATCTTCCTTCGAGGACTCGATGAACCAACCGCACGTAGTTCTGGGGACTCCATTGCCGCCAACCCAACAAAGTTCAGGGCTATTCCAGGTACTAGCTCCCTCACCTCCCGTGCGGCAGACAACCCATCTGATCGTCTCACTGTCTGATGCTGCCACCACCCAAAGCAGTGCAGCCAGTATGGATCACACTTACTTGGCAACTAGATACCGCAAGGGTGGGAAAGACTCACAAGATAGCCCTTCCACGGCTGAGGCGAGGGTCAAGCTGGCCGCTATCCAGCGCGACCATCACGACGCCGTGCAGGGGAAACGGTACCACTGACGCCCACAATATCCCAGCTGCGCTACTTTCAGGGCTCGGAAGTTGCTGGAGAAGGTATCTACCCTTGTGCTGCGGCTGGCAGTAGATTCTTCGAGCTGACCATGGAACATAGACGCGCGGACGGGTGGGTTTTGTGGTGTTGGTATGGTGTCTAAGGAGGGACAGGGGCCAATTCTCAGAATCCGATATTGACGCTGAGGACTATGCCAACGTACTGCTTTCACCCGCTCGACCACGCAGGTATCTCGAGAAATTGGGGATCGAGCCGGACTCTGAACCAGGTGAGGAAGACGAGGACGGTGACAAGGACAATGATCCTGTGGATGGAAGCCCTCTTGGCCGTCAGCTGCTGCAGCCGTCCGCACGGCCAAGGCGTGGTCGCCGAGGTCCCGCCCCAGGTACAGGAGGTCGGCCAAGAAGGTCTCGGAGAGTAACCCGATCGTCGAGATCGTCGAAATCGTCGAGACCGCAACGACGGCTTCGGAGTCCAGTGATGATTCCACCGGAAGAATTGGCAGTCTTCCATGCACAAGATCCGGTGTGGAATGGCGACATCGACGCTTGCGCCTTGACAGACCGCGATAAGGCCACCCTGCGCGAGTTCTGGACTAAACTTGACAATGACCAGATGGAATACTGCAGCCGATGCCGCGAGTGTTGGTTTCAGATGGAAATTGATTATGAGGGCATCTGCTCGCGTTGCTATCGAAAGGATGAGAAGCGTGGCCCGGACGAGCCTTATTTCTTCTCTGCCGAAAATCAACTTGACTTTGGCCCCGTACCGACCCGATTGCCTGAGCTCACGCCTACGGAAGAGTCATTGATTGCTCGTGTCCACGTCCATGTGAACATCATGTTGGTGCGAGGGCAGCAGTACAAGTATCGGGGGCATGTCGTTCACTTTCTTCGCGAAGTTGGCTTAGTGTAGAACCAGCTCCCGCTTTTGCCACGGGAGTTGAACACGGTGTTGCTGCGTCCTGCCAACACCTCATCACACGCCAATCTCAGCCGGCAGTTTACCCGCCAGTTTCGTGTGCGCCGTCAAGCGGTTATGATATGGCTTGACTACCTCCGCCATCATCATCCTGGCTATCGATGTATCGTCGTCGACGACGAGCGACTGAGCCAACTGCCCGAGGACGGCAATGTGGAGGACGCAATCCCCCAAAGTCAAGTGGAGGCTGCCGACGTGGGACCGGAGGAAGATCAGGAGGCAGAGCCTGAACTAGAGGACGCGGCTGCGGTGCCTGACCTGTTGGCCAAGGACACGGAGCTCGATGCTCTGCGGTCTATTCTTGCGGGCGAGCCAGAAGCGAATGCAAGGCCTCCTCTCGCCACAGCCCCCAAGGGGCAGGCGCAACACGAGCTGAGGTTCCCGAATATACGGCACACGCCGATCAATGAGTTCAACCGCTCTCATGCCCTGCTCTCCTTAGCATTCCCCTGCCTCTTTCCAGATGGCAGAGCCGACTTTGTGGAGCCTCGCTTGCGGTCGATTGAGTACAAGGATTACATCGAGCACGCGATGCGGTGGCACGACGGGCGTTTTGCTCGGCACCCGACCTTCCGTTTTGTCGCATTCAACACCCTGATGCGGTCCCAAGCACGTGCGCGGTCCAAATTCTTCGTGAAGCAACACGATGGCACTCGTGAACCGCTCACCCGAGAGCAGCTTATTCAGGCACTCGAACACAGCGAGGATCCCGAGACGCAGGCGCTGATCAACTCGATCACTAGGCATGCAGTGTCGATTCGCGGTACGCGCCCTTTTTGGAACAGAAAGAGGCAGGACCTCGAGGCGTATGCCTATAGCCTGGGCTGTCCTGACGCATTTATCACATTTAGCCCGGCCGATTTGCACTGGCGGAGCCTCTACCAACACATGCCCCGATACGAAGAATGGCTGGCTGCGTCCGAGTCGGAGAGGATGGCATTGTCACGGTACTTATTGCGGCAGAACCCTCACATTGCTGCTTTCCACTTCTACCGCCGATACTGCTTCTTTCGAGATATCGTGTTGCGGAAGAAGTTCAACGTCACGGATTACTGGGATCGGTATGAATGGCAAGGGCGCGGCAGTCCTCACAACCACGGTCTGTACTGGATGAAGGAGAGCCCGGCCGCCGACATGGAGGACGAAGCTGCTCGTGACATATTCGCACGCACGTGGGGCTTCCACATCACGGCTGTGAACCCGGAGCCCCGTAGGAACGTGCCTCATGGGGAGGGTAATCCCCTGAGCGTAGATACTCTGAGCATAGAGATGACATTCCTGCGGCTCTCGCAAATTGTCAACCGCTGCCAGCGCCACAGATGCAATACCACGTATTGCTTGCGTGTCAGAAAAAGAAGCGGTGACCTGGCGAGGGACATGGAAGGAGCTGCTGCCGATATTGAGGCGGCCAACATGTCGAATCCGGAAAGGGAGTGTCGTTTTGACTTTCCCCGTGCCTTGCGGGAGCTGGCCGCGGTCATCAGGAAGGAAGGCAAGTCGTACTACATCTTCGAGGCGGCCCGCAACGACAACCTCATGAACCACTTCAATCCTGCCATCATTCTGGGGTGGCTGGCCAACATTGACATATCTCCATGCACCAGCTTACAGGCAGTCATTACATACGCTGCCAAGTATTGCAGCAAATCGGAGAAGAAGACTGAGCCTTATTGTAAGCTTGCAGACCAAGTTTTGCCGCACACGGCACACCTGCAACCCCTATTGTCCTTCTCCTCTCGTCTTATGAATAAGCTGATTGCCGAGAGGGATTATTCAGCGCAGGAGATTTCCCACTTGCTGCTCAACATCCCTCTGCAGGAAGGGACTCGGATGGTTGTGTACGTCGATTGCCGCCCGTTGGAACAGCATGTGCGGTCGTACCGCGTCGATGATGATGTGAGTGAGGCTGTCGGCAGCTACCGGAAATACCTGCAGAGAAATGACCAGCATGAGAGTATTACTTATCTCGAGTATTTGCAGTCGTACAATCTCAAGACGTGGAGGAGACTCGGTGCAAACGCGAAGAAGAGGGTTCTGTCCTACTTTCCTCGGTACAGGCCCGTGGAAACTTCAGCCCAGTTTCATGACTTCTGCCGTGTCAAGTTGATGATGGCCCATCCGCATCGCTCTCCGGAGGAGTTGTTTGCTGTGGACGGACAGTGGTTTGAGTCCTTTGTTGCAGCGTACCAGTGCTGCCGGCAGCGACACCATTTCCATGAGGACGACCATTACGGGCAGGTGGGAACAAGCGAGCTCCAGGCGGAGGACGATGAGTTTGAGCAGGAGGTGCATGACGAGCTCATCGCAGAGGAGGACTGGCATGAACTCGCCCGCATGCTGCCAGACCGGCCGCTGGAGGAAGAAGACATCGACGTGCTTGGCCGGCGAGATATCGACGTGAATTATGACTGGACTCCCCACGTTGGACGATATACCAACGAAGACATTCTCCGCGGTAACTACTGGAAGCAACGCAAGGCGGAAAGCTCCTTTCCTCTTGATGTGGAGCATCAGCCCTTAGAAGCTCGCGATTCCCTGAATCCGGAGCAGCGCCTAGTGTATGACACGGTGATGGACCACTTTCTGACCCAAGACCGTTCCCAGCTGTTACTCCACGTGGACGGTGGCGGTGGTACGGGTAAGTCATATCTGATCAACCTGCTCTCGGCGCACCTTCAGGTCGCGACAGGCGGGAGAGGGACACCTGTCTGGCGTGCCGCACCGACGGGCGTTGCAGGAAATCAGATATCAGGCACCACTTTACACTCGCTGCTTCACCTCCCGATCAACAAGGACTTCAGGCCGCTCTCCGCCATCGATAAGGCCCAGCTCCAGAAGAAGCTGAAGGATATTCAGTACCTGATCATCGACGAGAAAAGCATGCTGGGACTGCGGCAGCTATCCTGGATCGACGACCGTCTCCGCGAGGCATTTCCGCATAGGAACGAGGAGTTCTTTGGCGGACTCAATATCCTGTTGGTGGGCGACTTCTTCCAGCTTCCTCCTGTTCTACAGAAACCGCTTTATTACGACAAAGAAGTGAAAGGAGTAGAAATTAAAGGCAGGAACGCGTATATGCGCTTCGATAAATCTATCTTTCTAAGCGCTGTTCAGGGGCAATGCGGCGATGATCAGGCGGCCTTTCGCAAGGCTCTCGGGGAACTTCGGCTGCTCCAACTATCTCACGAGTCCTGGAAACTTCTCTCCGGCCGTGTGCAGGCAAAGCTAGACGATCAAGAGGTTGCCAGGTTCGCCGATGCCTTACGCGTGTACGCCACGAAAGACCGGGTGAACGAATATAATCACTACCACCTTGACCGCCTCAGCCGACCAGTCATCCAGGTCATCGCTACGAACGTCGGCCCCGGCGCGGCTGCTGCCCCGGACGACAAGGCCGGCAACCTTGCGAAACACGTCCCTGTATGCATTGGCGCCCGTCTGATGCTGACGTGCAACCTCTGGCAACAAGTTGGCCTCTGCAACGGCGCTCGTGGCACAGTGTACGACATTGGCTGGGCACCTGGGGCTGACCCCGTCCGGGACCAACCGTGTGTTATCATGATGGGGTTTGACAAATATACCGGACCGGCATTCCTGACCACCGCGGATGGTAGGAAGATTGTCCCAATTCTGCCAGTAGACAGGGACTTCCTCGTTGGAGTCACACTCTGCACTCGCACTCAGTTTCCCCTGATCGTATGCTATGCCATTACAGTTCATAAGTCGCAGAGCATCACCGAAGACAAGATCGTGACAGACCTGTCCTGCCGTGACTTTCAGACTGGTCTGAGCTATGTGGCTGTCTCGCGTGTGAAAACGCTGCAGGGTTTGATGCTCGATGCCCCGTTTGACCGCAACCATCTGACATACACATTACCTCCGGAGGGTATCAAAATGAAAATGAGGGACCAATGGCTTAGGAGCTTGCAGATTCTTACTCAGAATCCGTATAAGAAAGTCCACGGGGCTACGTAACTCCACTTGATACTACCAAGGTGTAAATGACGCAGTGAATGTATGATTGTAGATGCTTCATTCTTCATTTTCTTCGGTGACTGCCTTATCCGTTGAGCGCAGACTTGCAGCCTTCGGCTGATTGTACGCCTTGCACCACCGCTCTAAAGTGCAAGGTGTGACGTAGTATTTTACTCAGTGTATTGTCAAGCCACTGATTGAACTCACATATCGTGAACATTCTACGAACGATAGATAGAAGAATAAAATTACACACCTGCTACGAAACATAAGAGGCGGATTAAGTTGACAAATATTGTGACAACAACTTTGTCGTGGTGGCAACTGCCAAGCTTGCGACTGACGATTTCAGACATATCTTTGCTGGACAACATGGTAGTGTGCTTCATATGGCACGGACTCTACCAGCTCGAACTCCTTGAAGGAGCGATGGGCACAAAAGGTAAATCCTTCTCTCTACCTATAAATGCGTTATCAGCTAACCACCTACATGTGACGGTACAAGGGCACGAGCAAGGTCAAGTGCGACTTGGATAAAGCGATTGTTCACAAGGAAAGTAAGAGCTTCCCAAGGAAGTTCAGACTCGAGCTATGTAAGTCCTGATGTGGGGCCGTTCCCTTACACTACAATGTGATTACCGGGAACTGAGAGAATATATTACTTCGAATGGGATGTTCTGCAAGGAAGAGAGATAGTTTGGCGCAAAACGGTCGAGGAACGAAGAGCATTAGAAAGACAAAAAATAAAACTCAATGCTCAAATGTCCAACTAGTTTCTCTGAGATAGCTAATTTGAATAGGGTTTCTGTTTTAGGGAAGTTGAAAGTTATAGCTCGGATATCGATTAGCTTAGTTGTGTCATTGTACTTAGATCACCCTTGACGGCTAAGTATGCTATCAGAAAGTCCGATTCGAATTATCAGAATATTGCGTCGAGATCAAACCCATTCCACCTGTGGACTGTAGCGTAAACCATACATCAATGAGAGCTTAGCATGATTCCTTACGCTCATCGAATTCAGCGTCCACAGACTCGTTCACTTTCTTCCGACGTACCGCTCGTAGATTCCAGAGGCACCGAGCGGCGACAGCACACATCATTACCACCAGAAGACTTGCAATCACGACAGGCGGAATCCACATTCGATCACTGCGTTGGAGAAAATGCTGCGCGACGGCGATACTGGCGCAGAGGTACGCCAGCAAGAAAGCCATTGCAAGGTCCTATAGGCAGAGTCAGAACTGGAAATATGCTCTAGTTATTGGAGTTCAACTTACTTGGAAGACAAAGAGGGAAAACGCTCCATACCCGAGAATTGCCCAGACGAAAAAGAGACCAAAGCCCTCGATAGTATCGTTGTAGCCGATTCCGGCTGTACGGCAATTGCCCAGTTCCAAAAGATGGCAATAAAATTCCAGGCAAGAGGGCCGCAGATAACTGAAATGCGAGTGAAGTGTGAAAGCTTGCTATGCTTAAAGTAAAGCACAGAGAGGTTGACGAAATTGAGAATCAAGATACACTCGGCCCAGCCAAAGGCAGAGCGTACAAACAAGACCAGAAAAACAACGTGAAGTAAATTGTTGATGCTGAAATGATTGCTGATTGTGATGTAGCTGATGTCGTTAGAGGGCGCGAAAATATTGGCCAGCATGTGCACAAAGAGCGCGACATGCATTCCTACCCTAATAGGTGATTTAGCTGCGGATCAGTCTGTTTGATGCTCGATACTAACCAGTAGGCAATGACCATGTTTGGATCAATGGTCAGGCCCGTCTCATACTGAAAATTCTGGTCCCAAATGCGCGCCCCGATGGTGGGACCATCTCGTGGTGCGCGGACCGTGTAGTAAATAGAGACACCGGCAGAGACCCCCCAAGTAAGCGCATCGATAACATGAGCGAGAACGAATCTTCGGTCAAGATCCACTCTGGACACTTCGTTGACTATGCATGAAGATCAGTACAAGCTATGCAAGGAGAACACCAGCCTGACGCTTACGAGAGGCCGACTGCTTTTTCATGATGGCGTCTAGGCAGAACTGAATGCTAAGGTTTCTTTAATTTGATGAATATGTCTTAAGTGGCAAGAGGAACTTAGGAAGACAGGAAGTTGTCTGAGGCGTAGAAGAGGAGGTCGAGACTTATATAAGCCCAGTTCATAAACGCCGGCTTTCCTCATTCATCCTCGGTTTATCCTGTGTGGCTCCTCCAACGTGGTTTTAGTCTCCCCAGATACCGCCCGGGACTTTATTGGCGCCTAGGTGCATATGACCGTATCCTCTTTCAGAGCAGCAAGGCATGTTTATGCCATAAATCGCGCAGGTCACATCACATTACTGCATTTGGGCACTGAACTGGATTGGTTGTTACACCCTCTGGGGCGCCCTTAAACTATCTAACTGATGGTACCGCTCTAATAGGTACTATCTACATTCAGCGTATTATCTGATTCAGTTTCCCCAAGCCCGGCCGAATCTCCGTGCTGGAGATTTTGTCGGTTTCGCACTTTGACAATACGTCGAGGCGTACCCAGAGGTTTCTAGGTATAACGGTAAGTTTCGTCTCCCTTGTACGCAATCACGTAGTGAATGGACACTCACCAGGTGCTTCAAAGCAAGAAGTTCGGCAGACAGCTTTTGTATCTGCTTGTCAGCATTTTGTTTCTCGAAACTCCTGACGTAATGCAAATGCTGAATTTCAGTCTGCAATCTGCAATTCTCTCTTGTCAAATTAAACAGCCGTGTTTCATACTGCGTTATGGAGCGTAAATGCATGATCTCTGAGCCCAGCGCATTGCGCTCTTGTAGGGATGTGAGTGGTGCTTTGACACCATGACTCTGAGCTTCTGAATGATCCATCGTAGAATGAGGTGAGGTGTGACTTTGCATTGTATGGCTTCCCTATTCACAAGGCATTACATACTGTATTTATATTTATGGAACCGGCGTTATCTTTGATCGGCCGATGGGCTCCGTCGGCTTCAGTTTCCGGACGGCCCCATATCGGGGCAAAGAGAAGGTGATGCCCCGGCTTTTTTTTTTTTGTGATGAACCCCGAAACCCCGCTATTTTCGCCGGATACAACACCCGCCCAGCATTGTGATTCCTACGGACGGCATAAGGCTAGGCGCCCATAATCCACGAAAGGGTGGAGACAAGGGTGAAATTTTTCCAAATAGGTTACTCTGGTGAACATGGGTTGGGGGGTAACACGGCACGGCAAGTGCTGTTGGGAAACTTTGCTGCTGGGGTGCTTGATTTTAAAGTGGAGACAAACTGTGATAGAGTTGCCTAGCTGTTACCTACCTAGGTACTTGCTCCTCGTTTATGCACCCAGCGGCTGGCTGAAGGACTCCCCAACTCGAGTGCTTCGATCACATCACATTAATAACGACGCATGCAAATGCATTACAAACTCAAGTGGCAATTTATTAATCATTCTATAGCTTACAAGGCCCAGGACCAGGGTGTGGCGTCGCGAAGGTTGTTAAACACCTTTCCAGTTCGAGCCAGAGCGCCAAGTTGCCATTTCTGGCCAACTGCAGGCGGACCAATCGAGCTCCGGAACGACTCGGCTCTCAGCGCATCCGGCTCCGTCAAGTTCAACGCAACGAGGTTGCTAAGGCGCCGGAGCCTGTTTAGCGGAAGATCTACGCTATGAGAGGCGAATGTCATTCTGGACAGTCGATAACAAGACTCGAATGTATCATGTACTGAGAAAATGCGACCGTCAAATTCTGTCCAGGCTATTCCATCAATATTATCTCGTCTTTCTGCCAGCCAGGCGTCAAGCAGTGCGTGGTGCGATGGCCGAATGAAGGACCGATACAGGGCCCCATAATCAAGCAGGAAGGACTGGGAGTCTCTGAGTGATCGCGTAACCGGCCCTCCGCGTTTGGCCCGATGGAAAGTAAACCCTCGATGTCTGTATTTCTTCACATCAAGGTGGGCGTTCCTGTATTTCTGGCCCGGCCATGGTCTCCACATAGATGAGTGTTTGTCCTTACACTGGGTGTAGTACATGTGGCCCGCGCACCATCCACTGATGAAGCACTGGACATGGCTGGCGTAAAAGCCTTTGATAAAGCTCATGCAGCTGTTGATGCCTGAATAAGAACATCCGATGATTAGTTCGACGCCCTGAGACCCTGAGCTGGTTTGTATGTATCCTTGAAGAACATTGAGTGCTTCTCTCGCGCTGCTTGTGTCCTGACTAGGCGGAAAAGCTGACTCTTCTGAAGCAACGCCCAAGGTCGGCTTTTCCAGATCAGATAACTGGCAGGCGTCCGAATTGAGCCTGTTGCCGCAGTTCATCTCCTTGTATGCCTTGAATCTGCCGTAGAGCGCTGTTCCGAGCAAATTTTCCGCTGCAGCTGGTTCAAGGGATTCTGCCCTTGAGTTGAGACACTCGAGATCCGCACTTGAGATGGAGGCCGTTCCAAGTGGGCGAAGCGATCTTGCCACTTCAGCTGCATCAAGCTGCCACGAGACCCCGCAAATTTCCAACACATTGACCATGTCTAAAACTGATTCCTTGTATCCGGGAACGAAGAAAGTCCATACGGAGTCTTCACTTGTTGACGACGGGAGAAAGAACCCCAAAGCGCGCGGACCAGTGATAACACAGCCCGAATCAAACATGGCGGACAATAATGTCAATGGGTACCGGAACGTTCGCGACAAATACCCAACGGGATCAGCTCGCGACTCGTAGCACTGTTTGAGTATCGAGCTGTAGGTAAAGGCTTTTCTCAAGACACAGGCATCTCCTATATCGAGATTTTTCATGACGTTTTGAAGGGCTGTAGATTTTTCTGCGAAAGACATCTTGAGGGAAGGTGGAAAAAGAGTTTGGCAGTGTTCTAGATGTGTGGGGTTGGTACAGAAGATGGTCGAGATGCTGAAAAAAAAAAAAAAATAGCCCTCTCACTTGAGCCTTAGCACCTTTAAATAGTTACATGCTCTGATATGTCTAATAAAAAGAGCAGGTTTATCATTCGACTTGATCTCACGTTTGTACGTGTTTCGCAGCTGAATGCCTTGATGCCTCTCTTGCTCAACAGTCTGGTACTAAATCTAGTTCTGGTCATACTGGGCTGGGCCATCTCAAAGCGCTAACCGAGGGCGCGAGAGCACCACTATCTTTAGTCACAGCGGCTGTCTTCAACCGACCACATTTCTTATTCCTCATAATTCGGCAAACAGCATTGAGCAGTTAGTTTTTGAGCGCTTAGCACACCTGCAGGCTTCCGGCATTGGAAGATTGCTAATATTTCGGTCTCGCAATGGCTGTGAGAAGACCCTGCTTAGATTAGTAAAATTGCAATTTCGTAATAAGATACAAATTCTCTCTAAGAAATTAGGAATTGCATGGAGAGGCAATTTGATCTCGTCCTGGCGGTGAGCGTGGGCGCAACTCGACGCCGGTTGACCGTTATGGGTGGAACAGCGGACATGCACGGTAATCCTAGGTGTAATGGGGCGCTACGCTTTCGGGGGCTTATCCCCTAAGTTTTCACATGGGCTTTAAACAATTTGGGAAGTTGCTGGTATGATCCAGGAGGTGGTGCCGGTAGCCTCGCTTGCAAGGTTACCACCACTCAAAGGGTGCTGGTAGCTTGCTTCAGAATGCTACTGGTATCAGCGAGTTATCGGTAATATTCATCGGTCGGCTGCCAGTAGTAGTGGTTTGCTAACTAAAAATTACTAATAACACTGCTCTTGAAAGCCATCGGGTGCTGGTAAACGATGCGCAATGAGTACCTGGTACTAGAAGACGTGGCCAGCGTTACTGGCAGCACCAATTTTCTCAAACGCGTTGGTGACTGGCAGCTGGCTTCATCAATGAGCCGCGAGTCGGCGGCCGGTTACAAGGATGTTGGGCTTTGCGCAGATGCAAGCAAATTGATATGTCATTATTTTTTCTATAACACTAGCTGAGAATGGCCTGATGTGTATCTAGTAAATAGACTAGCTAGACGACAAGATGCCCTGCAGTAGCCATACGGCGACCGAGACCTAGGCTTAGGGTGTGATCTTCTGCGAGTCCGCCCCCGCCTTCCCCGGCGACTCTTGGTTCGAAAGTCGTCACTTTGGCGTGAAGACCAACGGTTGCGAGATGATTCAATCCGGTCTAGTCCATTTTGTGGCTTTAGTAAATGCAATATTCACGAGTGATACTGGTTACCCTACAGTTCGGTGACGGCAGAAGCCCATGCAAAGGCAAATGAAAGCTTGACGAGAGTCATGATTGCAATGTATCCTGGGTGGCCTCTATTTTGCCATTGTACGGTGGGACATTGCGCCTCTTTATGCAGTAACTCTAGTTAATCGAAAAGAGTTTGCGACAATCTAGGCAACCTTCGAATTGTGTTGGACCAGTGTTGGCAACTGGCGGACCTAAGCGCTTTCAACCCACCTCAGGTTATCTCGGCTGGCGTTGCCACTATGTCGTGCGTATACCCCAATCCGAGCTGCATAAAAAGCGCCGCGTCCCTTTGCTTTTGTTTCAAGCGGAGCATCTTAAAATTAACTTTCACCCTTCACGATGCCCGTTGCGTTGCCCACTCTTCGCCAGCTCCTTGCTCAGCTCGGGTATGGTGACCTCGGTCAACCCCAGACAACGATCTTCGTCCATGACATACTGGTCTTTTTGAATGCCATTAACCCTATCAATTGCACTTATTGTCCATCTTATGAGTCTACGCTTGAGGTTTATCATGGGCTTGCACGGCATTTTTTAGACCTACTCGGACGCGGCGATATTTATTGGCCAGGAACTGAAGACGCTGGCCTTGTGTATGCTGCCGATCTCCAAAAGTAAGCTCTTTATTGTGCCCCATTAATTACGACTTTAGTTAACATGTCAAGTAGAATCCAGGCACTTGTTGGGTATCTTTTTTTTCGCTTTGCTGAGGAAATTCGGCGCTGGAGGCGGACGCCTTCTTGCCGAAGTCGCGATGTTAGAGACGGCTTCAGTCTCGAAAGACTCTTGACAAACTACAATGCTAATAGCATAATCC